AATGGCAGAAGTACGTACCAAGGATACATACTTCATCTTTTACCATCTCTTCTCTTCAGGTTTTAGTTATCGCCTGTAAATAAATAACTCCCAGATTAATATCTCCTCTCTTAAAAGTTTCTGTCTCCCACTTTCAGATTCATACTAAATACCCCCAACTGGATGTTTTATCAGGTCTCAAATTTAATATTTTAAAACCAAATTCATTGACTTTTACCACTTTCCTTCCTACTCCTACTTCCCATTTACCCCAATTTCCCAGGCTTAAAACTTCAGGATTATCTTTGATTCCTGCCACTCTGCTGTGTCCTACATCAAGTCATTTGCCAAATTTTGTCAATTCCATCTTGGCAGTATCTTTCCGTTCTCACTGCCACTACCCACCTTCTCTTTGATTAGCCTTCCCGTTTCAGATCATTCTACCACTCAGACGCTTTCAGTGACTCTCCGTTGTCTACAGGACAAAGTACAGACCGCCTGGTCTTTCAGGTCCTCTAGATCTGACCCTAACTGGCCTTTCCAGATGTATTCCCAATTATTCTACATACACTTCAGCCAAACTGAAATACTCACCAGTCATCGGACATTAATTTATTTTTCAATCTCTCTGCTTTTGGTGTGGTTTTTTGTTTGTTTTTGCTTGATTGAGGATGTTTAGGTTCGGTGTTACTTGTCTTTTCATTGCCTACCTCATATGCTACTGCTTTCTTCAAACCTTTGCTGATTTTCCCTTTTAGGAATGATGTGAAATAGTAATGTATTTTCCTTCTTGAAATAGTAATGTATCATATATGGAACCTTTGGTTGACTTTGGTTCAGAATAGGTTTATTTAGCGCCTACTGTATGCAGACACTGTGCTAGGAATTAATACACAACTGCAAAGAAGTAAACTGCCTGCCATTGAACAACTCACAGTCTAATCCTCTACATGCACTGATAGAAAGTAGATGTGAGGTAAGGAAGTGAAAATGTGTCAGAAGTGGTCAACTCGAAGGGTGAGAGAAACCTTCACAGAGGAATTTTCTGGGTGGATGTGAGTGTCTCCTGGTGGGGTAGGGCATTTTAGGTAGAAGGAACAACATATGCAAAGGAACAGAGACACAAAATAGTGTGGTGTGTTGGAGTAATTTAGTATTGCTTCAGCACAAAAGTTAGGGGAGGGGTGGTAGAGAGAGACATTGTGAGGATATGTCAGGAGACTAAAGCAGGGATAGAGCACAAAGAGCCTTTTATACTCTGCTAAGAAGTATGGACTTTTTTCTGTGAGTAGTGCTAAGCCATTGAAGAGTTTTAAGAATAGCAGTGACATAGTGTTAAAACATAAGATCACTCTGGCAGCTGTGTTGAGTGGAGTATTTAGGGGAGTGGAGTTGGTAACACAAGAGAGGGGAATTTTTATAACAGTTCAGGCAGGAAATTATGAAAGTCTGAACAGTCAGGTTGAATATATTGTAGATATTGGGGTACATCCTATTGGTGGTTCTAGAGCAGGAGTCAGTGAACTATGGCCCATGGCCCAAATCTAGCTAAGCGCCAGTTTTCATAAATAAAGTTTTTGGGGGGAACATAACCACACGCATTAATTTATATATTGTCTATGACTGCTTTTGTGCTATTAGTACAATGGCAGAGTTGAGTGTATACAATAGGGAGTGCCTGGCCCACAAAGCCTAAAATATTTACTGTCTGACCCTTTACAGAAAAAGTTTGCTGATCCCTATTCTAGACTTTCAGTCCATATCATATTCATCTCTGAATCCCCTACAGTACTCTACATAGGTCAAAATACTGAACACTGAGCACATGGTGGGTGTTCAGTGAATATTTTGTGATGAATAAACTTATACATGTATTCTGAATCAAACTACATCCATAAGTCATAATTTCCCTACTTAGTAGATGTAGCTTTCTTCTAGCTCAAAATTGCCAAGGGTTTGCATAGTGTGGGAATATAATATTGGGTCCTTTATAGAATGGATCCATTTAGGGCCTATTTTTCACTCTTCCTCCTTGCTATAAGAAATGTCTTAGGCCAGGCGTGGTGGCTCACACCTATAATCCTAGCACTCTGGGAGGCCAAGGTGGGAGGATCACTTGAGCTCACGAGTTTGAGAACAGCCTGAGCAAGAGTGAGACCCTGTCTCTACTAAAAATAGAAAGAAATTAGCTGGACAACTAAAAATATAAAAAATTAGCAGTGCGTGGTGGCACATACCTGTAGTCCCAGCTACTCAGGAGACTGAAGGCAGGAGGATCACTTGAGCCCAGGAGTTTGAGGTTGCTGTAAGCTAAGCTGATGCCACATCACTCTTCCCAGGCAACAGAGGGAGACTCTGTCTCAACAAACAAAAAAAAACAAACAGAAAACAGGAGTTCGAGACAAGAAATGTCTTTGTAAGAAGTGATGGTGACTTCAAGAAAAACTATGTAAATGATGTGAAAATTGCTCCCTACCATACTTTCATCTTTCATCTCAGACCACATGAAAGCATCTTTTTTTCTTGTTCTTCTTAAGATACAGGGTCTTGCTCTGTTGCCCAGGCTGGAGTGCAGTGGAGTGATCATAGCTCACTGCAACCCTCGAACTCCTGGGCTCAGGCAATCCTCCTGCCTCAGCCTCCTCAGTAGCTAGGATGATAGGCACGGGCCACAATGCCTGGCTAATTATTTAATTTTATGTAGAGAAAGGGTCTCACTGTGTTGCCCAGGCTGGTCTTGAACTTCTGGCCTTAAGCGATGCTCCGTCTTGGCCTCCCAAAGTAGTAGGATTACAGGCATGAGCCTCTACACCCAGCCTGTGCATCTTAATATAACCCACAATAGCTAGTTTACTAGTTATCAGATTTATCGTATATTGGCCATGGGATTTTTATGTTATTTAGTCATTTTTCATTTTTACTATAGTAATCCTAATCCCAGATGTCACTCTAAACCATTGTCTCAATAAGAAACATGCTTTCTTCAAGCATGTATTAGGTTTACCTACATACGAGGCAAGGAGGAATGGTGGGAAGATGGCAGATTTTGTAATCAGAAGGTGTGGTTATGTATTGCATTGCTTTCACTTTTTTTGTTTCTGACCAGTCAAGGGGAAATACCATTTTTTTCTCCACCATTTTTATGAGACATTTGCAA